ACCCGGTCTCCACCCACCACTGAAGAGCTGGCCCACCTGGGCGGCAAAAAAGCTGCCACTGCGCTCTATACCTTTACCTAATCTTTAAACTTTTTTATAAGACGGGGGCTCAGATTTTACCAAGCCAGGGTGGAATTTAGCCAAGACACCGGGGTTAACACCTCCGCTTAGAAACGGTGCCGTGGCCTTTAACGGAAAAGTCGTTGCGACCCCTGCTCGACCCTCTCTCAAAGGACAGCGGCGCCTACAGCACAGTGTCCCCTGTCCTTGGTTTGGAAAAGTCTTCCCTAGAGGGAAGGGCGCCGCCTACAGGTCCACCCGCACTTTGGCACTACAATGGAGGGTTTCCATTGCATTTCTGATCAGGCCGGGCCTCGTTCAGCTTCTAAGCAAAAACCAGACCACGCTTACGAAGTGATGGCGCTGCTGTGTCAATATGATGGTCATCGCTGATATCATTCTGGTTCCAGTTAAAACAGTAATTTATTACTCTCGATGATTTATTCCTTTATCTGTTCCGGAGGTTGGATATTTTAGGAACGCCGTAAAGTGGTGCTACAATATACAAGTCGACGTTGAAAACGAGGTTTTGCTGTATCGCTGAAATTGAGGAAAGAACTGCGAACTGCATTTACCCATCGTACTTTCCGGTGGGGGTCGTGTAAGACTTTAGGTTCCCCGAAATTATTTGTGAGCGCGCGTAATTGTTATTTTTAAAACCCAGACTCCGAAAACGTTTTCCTTTAGAATCGGTTCTTTTAGTGGTTTAAACGCCCAATGCCGAAAACCATAGGCTTGCCAATATTAACAAAATCAAGGCAGCATTTCTTTCTAAACTGCGTGATCTTAATCTCGTTCAATTTCAATTCCTGGAAATATATTTATAGTCTAACAGTAGAGGCGATTCCGTCGGACGGTGCGCGCTCCGGAGAGAAGCTGTGTCTGGCGGTTACAAGGGGTTGAGTGTGTAGTTTAGTGCGGAGTTTAACAAATTTAACATAATTGTTTGTTCACAGAGTTGGGGCTGTAGAAAAATCCGTTAACAACACGCTACATCTGAAGCTTTTGTTTTAGAAACCGACCGTGGTTAAGAGAAAGAGATTTTTTTTTTCACTTAAACGCAGTCAGGGGACATTACTACAGGACAGTTTATCCAAAGTTACATTTGTTCCCGTCGAGGTCACCTGCTGGTCACATCTCATTGGCTATATCAAGGAGGCCTCACAGCGAGGGTGTAACTCATTAAGAAATAACTTACGAGTCGTGCGCAACGTTTTGTTTCGGGTGTCATGGGATAACAGTAACATTTGGGGACAGGCTTAATCAGCTTTGGAAAAGTTCAACCAGCCCACAAAATCTGTTGTTAGTGACAATCTTCCATACTTCTCTCGGGGGAACGTGCGATTGTTTTTATGATTTATACAAGTGTGCTGTCTCGCCGGCTCCCCTGTCCTGAATTAAAATACAGAAGCTGGAATCCCTAGAAAACGCGTTTAATGCACCGTTAGATCCTTCGCTATCGTTGTGACCGAAGGCACAAACATGCACGGGTTCCCAGCCTCGCATTTACCGGGGGGATAAAGATTTCCAGAGGGCAGTGGATTGGAGTCGACACCGGACCTTGCTGAGGTGTGACCGCCGGAATAAGGGTTTCAAACACACCTGCCTGAACGCAGAAGGAGCGCGTATCTTGTTGACAAACACCCGTCTTCTCCGGCTCGTTACTTTCGAATAGTTTATCGAAGTTTCCGAATACAACTGGCGTATTTGAACAGCAGTCAACGGTAACTCCATCAGGGCAATTTACTTTATACCGGTGTTATCTTGAAGAACTATTCGCCGAACACCTATTTGAATACGTTGCCTCTGAAAATTTAACTTTATCTTTTTAAATCACATTAATTATTTATGGCGAGGATTGCTCGTGGATACGATTACGTTTCATTTTTTAGTCCTGATCTTCAGTTCTTTGCAAATAAAATGCACTATCGCCAAGTGCCCAGACAGGAGGAAAGCCTTCAACAACACAGCCGAATATGACACATAATATATCAACTTCACCTACCAGTCAGCTCTTCCATGTTTTGAGTTGATATTGTGCATATACACCGGAAACACTTAAGAGTTTATTTAATTTAGATTTAGTTTGCGTTAACAAACCCATCGACCCCCCCCCTCCCCTTCACGCGTCTCAAATTCTCAGCCTGTCCAGTCAAGACGCAGATTTTAATCCGTGCTAAGCGCTATAAGTAGCACCTTATCCATTAAATACTGTGACAGGAGCTTTCAACAGCTCACAAGAGTGGTCAGTTAGAGTTACATAATCTGTTTATTTTAAATTAAACGTAAAAATATCAATCCATTTCATTTTGTTGGGTGAAAAAGATCTTTTAAACATCTGATTCAGTGAAAACGTTATGCAGAGAGCTGCGGCGCACTGATCTAACCAATTTTTAAAAATGGTATATTCCTTCAGATATTATTTAAACGAACAATGGATTTATTCGCACCCAGAGATTCGGATTTCCTTATCGCGGATTCAGAAAATGACAAGAAATTAATGATCAAATTGAGAGACTAACAAAACGCGCCCGTATCGCGCTTTCAGGTCCAGAGAACATCTGGAGCAAATCTGAGCTACAGACCCAGTCGTCTGCGCTTTTAAAAGGGTAATTCACAGACCTCGCAAGACAAGACACCCCGGACACGACACTCGCAAACTAAATGAAAAAAAATACTGTTGCTTTGAGCATTTGTAGTCCAAATGATACATTAAATCACACAACAGCCACTGTGACTTTAAAAAAGATTTTTAAAGAAGCTTACAAAAATAACCTATACCCACAATGGCACTGGTCCAGGGGAGCCCTCAAAAAGTCCAGTAAATCCTACAGGTCACCCTAAATCACTAGTTTTTAGGGACTAGGAACATTTGATAATGACTCTAGTCCATTCAGGGGGATTCACATCTGTGCTTCAAATGATAATCATATTATTAACGGTTAACTGTCTACAGTATATAACAAAACACCGAGCAACACTCGGCAGTAGTTGACTCGTTGTACACTTGTTAAAAGCTCCAGTTGCTCAGGTTTCCGATTTTAGTAGCTAGAACAATATTGCAATTATGCTCAATTGCACATAGAAGCCGCAAACGTTTCTTTTTCCGTTTCCAGTTATGAATCATAACGTCTTACAGTAATTAATGTATGCGTATGAAGTAAAGAGTAGATTGACAGAGATGGTGGGGTGCTATCAATCTTTTAATCTCATTCCAGCAAACGTGTTTTACAGTCCAGCGCCAGATTGAAAATAAAACACTATTGTTCCAGAGTCTTTCGCATATCGAGGCATATGTAGCGCAGTGTGGTGTGAGGCTTAACGGTGTCATCGATTAAAAAACGGAGCTTGGCCAGTCATAAGCAGCGCGGAAACTTCACAGCGCTGCAAGGCGCCCACTGACAAGATGGAGTGTAAACCCGTCCATCGAAGTCTCATTTCCTTTCCCATGTGTTTGAGAGAGCAAGAGAGAAAAAAGTTTGTCTCTCGTCAAGTGTCGCGCCGCCAGTTTGAATGTTTGTAAACGTGTGAGCGGGATCATCAGGGCGATTCGCCCCAGCCTCCCGTGTTTTCTCCTCCAACGTGAGTCACACACATCCGAGCAGCGGTGACGCAGAGCCCCCCTAGTCCCTGAGAACCCGCACCAGATGGGAAGGAGCGGAAGAGTATGGGAACCCAGAGACACAAGTTTGCACTTCAAACAATAAAACGTCATTCATCCTGTCGTCTCCAAGGATGGACAAAACATTAACCATGCCGAGTTAAGAGGACCGTTTGGAGTTGACTTTTTAAACGAGTGAACGCAGAGAGCCACTAAAATAAAATACCGGTTAAAACGTGTCACTGCAGATCTGAAACCTCTTTAGAGTGACCTGAAACAGAACTCATCTGGACAGCTTAAGAGCAGGGGAAATATAGTATAACTTACCTGCCCAGAGCTTTGAGTCCTGTGAAAAGTGTTAAATGAGAACTGTTAAGGGAGGGATTACTTCTATAATTACCTTTAATCAGATACAAACGATTTCTTTGTAAAATTAGCAGTAGCTTTGGTGAAAAGATTTAAAAACAACATCCCCTAGGAAGCTCATTCAAGGGTAGTAATGTTGATTGGTGGTTATCTTGCCCTCGGAACCTGTCTTTATTCCGGGAACCTTCTATATGGAGCCTGGCCTCTTTTCCAGGCACTGTTTTCCTTCCACTGTCTCAAGATGCATTAACTAGGTGAACCGGGATCTAAAATGGTGACTCGTGTTCACCCAAAACCCAGGGTATAGTTCCACCCACAAAAGACTACATTTTTCAGTTCTTACCACGAATAAGTACTGTTCTGATGTAAGCAGACAGATGACAGCGAGTTTAAAAAATTAATCCCTTGCACAAGGTATCTGTTACTTTAACCATTACCCTCTAAAAGATCTATTGCATCCAAAATATTTTAAAATCTTTCAAAAAGCCACTTGTGACAATAATTGAAGATTCAACCACGTCCAAGCCAGGAAAGCTGGTCATTAGATGTGTTCATTAATGTTCCCATTTCCAAAATGCCATGTGAATCCTACTAAGGTAAAATGTGCATGACTATGCAGAGACTATGAAGTTATTGTACCTGAGTATTCAAGTATTAAAAATCTGGCGAGGCATTAGCTAGAGAGACACAAACCTGGGGGCACAAGTGTAAACTACAGGAAAGTATTTAAAACTGAGGACAGGAGGCCCTTCTTTACCCAAAGGGTTGTGGGAGTGTGGAACACACTGCTCAGCCAAGTCGTTGAAGCTGATACTGTGGCTTATTTCAATAAACAGCTGGATAAGATCCTACCAACTACAAAATGTAACTACTGTAGATGAACAGCCTCCTCTCACTTTTAAGCCTTCTCACATTTGGAAGTAAAGAGGGAGGCCACAGAACCCAGAACTACAAAACCATCCACAGGACAAGGTTTAGTGGAAAAAAATCAAAAACAGGCTTTTAATACAAAGCAGTAAAATTACACAGGAATAGCAAAATAATTCAAGAATAAATAAAAAAAAGGCAAACGTTTTCACATACAGTAGAAAAAAGCAGTGTGCCTTTGGAAGTGTCGGCTCCAGTAGTACAGCATACAGGTGTGCATGGCATACATGTTCCCTTTAGATCTGGAAAAGCAGGATTTCACCTTTGCAGATTACCCACAGTAGCAGACAAACACTTGTCTATAGCAATCCCCAGGTTTGGTTTGCAACGAACTGGATACTAAGTGGCACTGGTCAGTGTCTGACAGTGCTGTAGTGACTACAACCCTCAACCCCTAAAGTCTTCTATGATTTACATCAGTGAAAAACCTGACTGGAATAAAATGCCCTTCTCCCTTCCCACTACATGTGTGTTTTGAGAACCCAGCTGTTCCCAAGCATTACTCCGTTTATCACACCACAGCCAATGACCTTGGATTCCTTGGCGAGGATTCACGGGAGATAAGGGCCTACTTCAAACTTGCTTCACTGTAGCTCCGTGCCCCCAAAGTCTTGCCATTGGTCTTATCACACTTCCCTACCGCTTCTGGGAAATCCCTACACAAAGAACACAGCACACCTGAATGCACAACTCCCCCACCTCCTCCACTACACAGTTCAAAGAGGACAAAAATACAGAATTGTCTGCTTTTGTACACAGTCCTTTTGCTAAAGGTCAATGCAGTGTTCTTGGTTTACATTTCCACTATGTAGAAAAACTAATGACAACAAGAGTAGTCTGCATATCAGTGCAATTTCCTTTCTTCTTGTTTTTATAATTGTGATTCTCTGTTGTTGCCAAGGGACTGCAGTTAAGCACAAAGCTGAAGTGCTTCCTCCAACATGCATTCTGGATATCAGTTAGTGAGATGGCAGCAAATCTGGATAAGATGACTTTTGCAAGGCTAGTGCAGTTAGTCTGTGCAATAGCTGCTCTTTCCCCAAGTTTCAGTTCTGGGGCTCATGCATCCACACACTGCTGTCGCAGAATGGAAGTAGCTGGACCTCTGCAGAACACAGTCTCTGTTTTAGGTGGGAGTGTCAATCGGATCTGTTTCTGGTTATCAACAATTCAGAAATAATAATGTATGAATCATTTAATAAGAAAGCTGTGGGAGAAAGAACGGAGCTGTGTGTTTCTGACAAATACAGCAGAGTATTTCTGAAAAGACTAAGTGCAGAAATGGGTCAGGCAACAAAGATCAATTAAAGGGATCAATTTACATCAGCAATTAAGAGCTCACCTGTAACAATAGCCCTAAGTCACAGGGGTTCTCAGAACCAGAGCTTAGAACCACAGATTTACAGGATGAGATCAGGTGGGTTTTTGCAAACTCTGCCCAGTGTAAGTTGATCACTGGTTCAGACTTTTAGCTAAAGAAGCTTCACATCTTAATAGTAATAGCTGGTCACAGGAAGGGGCAAAATCAGAGCAGCATTTCTTTTATCTGAACTTACAGAAATCACTCCACGTACTGCAAAAGGCCTTTCAGTGCCAGGAGAGATGATTTTAGTGTCCTTTAGCATGTTAATTACGTCTCTCATGCAGAAACAGATCACATTTTTCCAAAACAACAAACAGGAATTTGTTTGTCACTAAGATCCGGGTTGTTTTGAGGGCTGTTTCTTCACCCCACCCACCAATGCTGACTCAGAAGCTGGCTTCAGCACAGCCCTGCGCAGTGGTGTGGTAATGGGTTGCAGATGATCCTAATTACTACTGGCAAAGTTGCGCTGTCTAAAGAAAGTCTCATACTCTGCTGCAGAACACGTCTTACAATAGGACGGCTTTACCATAACAGCTTGCTTCTTGCAATCATTGTTACATTTTGCAGGCATTTACACTATTACCGCCTACATTTATTTCAGTGAAGCTCACAATGTACTGGATTAAGAGTTTACAAAGTCTTATGCTTATCCCTGACCTCTGAAAAAGGCCAGGGTGCTTCAGTCCAGACTCAGGAATGCAGTTTTTAGTCAGTGGTCTTAATCTAGCTGGTTAAAACTAGCTTTCCTTTAATTAGGAGGGGGTTCAGTCCATATTGTCACACCGTTAATCTGATTTGACACTGTAACCCCAGTAACAATGTTGATTTCAACATAGAAAAAAGGAAGCTTGAAAGTGGCAGAGACTGAATGAAATGAAAATAAATGGAATTTAAGTCAAAGGAACACTTGGAAATTAGTGGGTGCCTGAACAGTGTTCCAGTGACTGATGTCCGTGCTGTCCCATGAGTGTGTTCCGTCATTCCCAGGGTGCACTGGAGAGCCAGGAATGGGCAATTTGATGAGGAGTCAATTTAAACTCTGTTAAATCTGCTCTTCTCGTCCTGCCCTGCAACACTAAATAAGACAGCTACACAAAGAATGGATCCTCTGAGTTCTCCTTCTCCACTTCCTTAAGGATCTAAGATGTAATTGCTTACAAATTAAAAAAACACAAGTCTTAGGAACAAGACCTGAGTTCAGAGGCAGAAACAGAAATAAAATCCTCAAAACACTGATCACTTCATTGTCCGGATGTGGGAAATTTTCAGCGATGCACTAGGCCTGCTTTCTCAAGAAAGGGGGGAAAAGCTGAACCTGAGGAATACCACAGGGAATGTAAAGAAAAGATAACAGTTCCCTCTTTATGTGTCAGAGGCACATCCCTATGCTGCGGCGGGAAATGCCCTTGTCTTCATTCCAGTGAATGGTTGCTCCTTCAGCTTTGAACAGTGAAGTCCTACGGAGGAGCCTAGAGAGCAACTTTGCCTCAAGGGAAGATGCAGAAGAGGATGACCCTAAATGAGTGGTCAGACTGGGTTCCTGGAGCCCTCTTCTCTGAGTGGGAGATTCAGCAGAGCCCTCTCTCCCTGCGCCCCACCAAGACGTGTTAGCAGCTCCGTCTTTAACAAAAGCACATTAAGGCTTAAGAAGAGAAGTGTGCGTTCAAGAGACTTCCTTTCGTTTTTCTGGATCTGCTTCCTTGCTGCAACACATCAGTGACACACAAAACAAAATAAAACAAAAAACATTCTGACTAATTTTTCTTTATGTTTTTTCCTCAACCTTCCACTTTACGAAGACTGGATCGACTGAAGGAGTTCCTGTTAGGAGAAAAGAAATACAGACTTTGATCAATCACAAAACACAAGGTTCCACATAACCAATGCCTAGACCTAGACAGCTGCCATTCATTGCTCTTACTTAGTGTCTACTGCACAGAACAGTAAAAATAAATGGATTCTTGTTACCAGTACTGTAAGCCAATGCCATGCCTCCATTCTGATAATGCCAACTGTACCCGGCACATGAGAAGAATCCCATCTGTTCACTGGACAGCAATCAGCTTTTGAAAGTACAGTATATGGGATATGTAAATATCTATGTATTTTGTAAAGAGGTCAGATTTTTTGCCACTAATCTCCACCTCTGTTTACCATGGTTTCAGCGATCGTATGAGCAAGTGAATGAATGGAGAGGGAGAGGTGAGTGGCACTAAAGGAGACTGCTGCCCGTCTATTCTGGTGTGGCTCTGTGTGGAGGGGAGATTGCCGCGATATGAACTGGGATATCAGAAGAGGAGAGTTCTCTTCTCTCCTCCCTCCAGCCCCATGCCAAAGCAGTTGTGGAGCTCACCGCTGACTGGCGTGGTGCATCACAAGGGGCTTGTACAGCTGGGGAATCTTGCGGTTCAGCAGGGGATGGAGCGATTCCTTCAGGCGGTTGTAGTTCCTCTCCAGCTCACGATGGTACTCCTTCTGGTCAGGGCCAATCAGAGCCTTGTTTTTGCGCAGGGCATCCTCACACCTACACAAAGAGAAGATAGAGCATCAATGGCATGGCTAAGTGCAGGGGAACACCTCCACGCTTACAAAGTGAACATGCACGTGTGATTTTATTCAGGGCCAATCTATCTGACGCAGGTCAGCAATCTGTTGTTAAACTCAACAGACAATATAAGAGGTGGCACCTAAACAGGTTGAGAGACACTGGCACAACAACATGCAGAAAATGTATTGGAATCATCTCCAAGTCAACTACTAGTGAAGTGAAAATAAAAACAGTTGAAGAGTTGCGAGTGGTAGAAACACGGAGGAGCAATCCTGAGAAGCTAGGCTCACCTTTTGGTGAAGTCCTTGAAGCACAGGCGCAGCTTGTTGTGGTGGCGGAACAGCTTGGGGTCATCAGGAATGTCTGCCAAGAACACCTGGGCCACCTCCAAAGGGCCCTGGAAGAGCAAGACAGACACGGATGGCCAGAGCGAGGGGACACAGCTCTACTGTTCACTTGCCATTTACCCAACACAACTCTTAATCCAGTATTCAAGTTAAATTAAAGAAAAACTCAGGCTACAGCTGTTTATACTGAGCTCACAATGGCTGTTCAATTCTCATGGTTTGATCCTATTTGTTAGTTCCAATGACAATTGCAGGAAAAGCCCCTAGCGGGATCCAAAACACTTCCTGAAAATACACTGACGCCAGTGTTTCTGTATATGATAAGGATTGTAGGCGCTACTGGCTCAAATGCTACCTGTCCTTGCACACCTTCAGCTTGTGAGATGTGCTGCAGGAGTGGGTGGGTGGAAGGGGATATACCAGGGAACAGTGGGGACTATTCTGCACTGCACTGACCGCAGTGAGCATTATGTGTACATCTGCAACATCCTGGTTTCACTCTGACCCTTTCAGTTTAACAGAGTCGGGGTCCAGCACTGCTGATACCTGATTGACAGTAGTGCCCACACTGCCCTGCAGCACCATCTGGAGCATTTTGGCATCAGCGGGGTCCTGGTGTGTGGCAAAGGCCAGCTCTTGCGTCTTCTTTTGCATGTCCTCAATGGCCACCTCAATGGGGATTAGGATGATCTAGACAGAGGAGGAGTTTTTTTACAGCAGTCCCTAAAAGTAAATTTATGGCAGGCTATCTAGTCATGCTGAGTTGGCCTGAGACCACACAAAGTGGAATAAGCCCCAGGGAGATTAAAGGAACTGAATCTCTTTAGTCATGAACAGAGTAAGTCTTCCTGATCTCAAAATGCACTTGACTACCTCAAGGCCAACAGTGAAATAAGAATCCCAGGACATAATGGGAATTAAGGTAAAGTGCATTCAGGACTGAAAAAGGATGTTATATCCTGAAAAGGGTTTAATATCTTAACACAACACTGCCACAGAGGAGTCTGCAACTAGCCATCTGCATTGTAGAAGTTCATTTGAAGAAAAGATCCTCTGATCAATAAGCTGGGTGGCCTCTCCTTGTGCTACTGTGGCAGAGTGGAGCGGTATGAAGGGGCAGGCTGACCTCCTCTCTGTGCGTGACGTTGATGCGGGTCTTGATGTAGGGGAAGGCGTGCGAGGTGGTGAGGATGGTCTTGCGCTTGTACTGCTCGTGCAGGTCGCCATGCGCCCGGCCGTCCAGCGTGAAGGGAGTGCAGTACATGAAGGTGCGCAGGTTGTAGTTCTTGTCGAAGTAGGTGATGCGCTCCTTCAGCTCGTAGGTGTCGAAGAAAGGCTCCACGTAGGTGATTTGAAGGTATGCCTGGAGACACATGCCAAAACCAAGTAAAAAACATGGCTGTTTTCAGCTCAACCCCACGCACAGATCAGCACAAGAAGAAAAGGTGAGAGCGTTCAACTGCCACACTTGCGCACATGAACATCAATTGCAACAGGATTTTACACTTTCTCTGGAGTTAAACTCTCAGCTTTCTGTACAGTTAAGAAAATAAGTTATCATGCCTGAAATCTGTAATACATTCAAATACGTCCTTCATTTTCCATCTTCTTGTATATTAATATACACTGAATTTACAAGGGATCTTAGTCTTAGCCTTTGCACTTCTTTGAAACTTCACTCTTTCATGGTATACATACAGTGCCCTCATTTACTCTTAAACTGTAGAGACCTTTGAGATATAGCTTACCACGACTAGGTACACTAGAAAATATGAACACTTTGCTGAATTGGCTGTTCTGCTGTATCCTTTATGAAGCCTCATAGTAATAAATATTTAAAAGTCACTATTCACAGGTATGCAGATTAGTCCACATTCTTTTTATGGCATCTTTTGCTTTTATTCACCTTATTGGGGTCCAGTTTGGTCTTATCCACTGGGTTGGAGTCCTTTACAATCTCCACTATGTCGTCTCCGAAGCGTTCAGCATAGAACTCCTGGAACACAGAGACAGCAGGTCAGCAGTGTCGACCAGGAGACACTGCTTTGTGCCTTGTAGACTAGGATGCTGTTTCATGACATGGCTGCTGGCCTGTGCACTCTGAACCTGAATGACCCGCCAGCAGTTGTGTAATAAAGCTAAATTGAAATTCTAGACCGGACTGGTCTGCTGAAGCAGGGCTACTCACCAGCAATTTTAGATAACTTGAACTTTCCCAGGTGAAAGTTTGCTTGACCAAATAGCAGTCACTTAGTCACTAGGAGCTCTTTAACTTTTGTACATTGCCACGCTCCTGAATAAATATTCATAAAAATTAAGTTCAAAAAACGAAAAAAAAAGAACATTTAAGACGTGAAAAGTGAAAAAAATCATCTATTGTTCCACCCGTGTGAGTATGGAACAGATGGCCAGCCCGCTCAGTTGTTCCCTTACCTCAAGCCGGTGAGAGATCTCTGCCAGCTTGGTGATCGACGGCTCCTTATACACAAACTCTTGCTCATCCAGGTCCCCGAACCGGCAGCCATAGAACCCCACTCGGAAATAGGTGCCAAACATCCGCTTCATGGCTGCAGTGGTGGGAACAACAGCAATAAAATAGGAATCATGAGAGCCACAGACCAAGGACAGTCATCCTTTCAGGTCCAATGTTTTTCCAATCCAGTCTTCAAGGGTAGGAGAGGGTTCCAGAGGTTATTATTACTGTATTTAAATAACTGCATATTTGGCAAAGTGAAGAAATTTAACAAGTTTCTTCAGGTCTCCAACAGATAAGGATTCACAGATGCTGATACAGAATGAGGGCCCCTGGTTTCAATTCCACCCCTTCCTGAACGAATTATTTGCATAAAAAGCCAAATCAACCGCTCTTCTCAGGCATTAAGCAGTTGCTAATTGAAAAACACCCATAATGCCTGCCGAAATTCAGCCTTCAAGGAGTGAAGGTTGTCCAAAATATCCATTTTTGAAGGACTGTGACCCACAATTAGATTTGAAGAACATCAGCTCAGACCAGGGCCATTCCAATCCACTCCACTGCACTGCACTGCACTGCACTGCAGAATTCTGCTACAAAACTGCCTTAATTAATTTAGAATTACAAAGGAGTGATACAGCCATTAAGGGTCTGGTTGCATCATGGAACACACTGAAGAGATTGAGTAGCTCCTGCTTAGAAAGATTATGAAACATTAACAGAGCTTAAACCTACAGCCCTAGGTTTCATACCCCGCAGTGTTTCATTTGTTTAATATTTCTCACAGAGACGCTCAGCTCCTGAACAACGTAGGCTGACTCAGTGCAAGGGGATGCACTCTAGCTAGGAACCGAGAGAGGCAGGGGCTATTCACAGATATTTGTATATCTTAATAGTTTGTTGGAAAAAGCAGAAACAGATCTGCATTCAGATCCCAAGGGAATATATATATATATCTCCCAGCCCTGTGCTATTTATTTTTCTTGTCTTATTTTTGGAGGAACATTTTTTTTATTTAAAAATAGTCACATGCCCTCATGCCCTCACACCAAAACAATTACTAAATTACAAAATTTCAACTCAGAGAGAAAGCTGAATCACCCAGTATGTCTCCTGCCTGAGATTGGAGCACTGAATTAGTGCCCCTGCTCCCTCAGTTTTCCACACAAACACAATATTATAACTGTGACACAACACTCCACACAAAAATTAGGAGACAAACGCAACAGTTTCTACTTAGTCGAGTTCTGTACGTTGTTAAAGGCCTGAAGAAGATGGTTATACACACTAATATTTATGTTCAGGGACAGACAGTTTTCTCTTAGTTTCCACAAAATTCCTGAGTGGTTCGAGACAGAACAGAGAGGGAGGGAGATGGAGCAAGGACACAAGGGTGTGTGGGGACACCAGGGATGTGCTGCAGAGGCTCTTGTGTAATCAGCACTGCGCAACACACTGAGTTGGTCTTGGAGGACAATTGACCTACTTTGGTTTTTTGTTGTTTAAGAGACCTCTCCATAAAACACATGCAAATACACACCTGTGTGCACTGAAAGGCCTCTGTGACTGATAAAAGGTGTTATTTCAAAGGTTTTTAAAAAACAGCTTTCAGACTATAATCTGTCCAGGCTTTATAGGTATCCTAGCATCCTACTTTGCTCAGGAAAAGAATAGTATTCACACTGCTGTGTCTCTACAGAACATTCACTGAGTGTAATTGAATTCTCCTTTGAAAGGGCCAGCCTGGTACTCAGCACTAAGAGAGGAGACTCACAAGGGACAGACAGAGCTTTAGCTCTGTAGTCGCTCCTCTGAGGAAAAGGGCATCTTAGGACAGACATTTTCAAATGTGCTGTGAAAACAGCACTTGGGAGAACAGAAACGTTTCAGCTGTGATCGCTGGGGGCGGCGGCTGTTGGAGGCTGTTATGGGCATACAATGCCATTACAGCCTTGCCGGCTGAGATATCTTCTTTTACTTCAGCGAAGTAAGTGCTTCAAGAGTGCCAAAGCTCTTGTAAACACAGAAAATGGAAACTTGGAAAAGAAAACCACCTGGGTCATCCTGTGTATTTTTTTCCTTCATTCCTCAGTATAAAAAGCATCAATGACAGCATAATAAAGAGCAGGGTAACAATCCAGAGCAGCTGGACTCTCAATCCCATGTTAAAATCTGTCATGAGCTGGCTGTGATCAGAATTCCCTGAGCTGTAGTTTTCAACTGGCTGAAAACTGTTGCCATTAGGCTGGTTTGTGTTCAGTCAGGGCAACTTTATTTTGCTGACTAATAGTGTCCCTCTGTGGTTGTGAGTTTAAAATAGGGGTGTGTATTCCCAATTAAAGAAAAGCGGGTACGGTACACTTAAAAATGAATCAAGAGAAGTGTGACTTACCAGGATGGATCATAGGCAGGCGAGGCGAGACGAGTGACCAAGGAGAGAGGAATAAAGAAAATTGAGAAACACATGTATTAACACAACTGCAATATGCACTGAAAACACTGCAATAAAAACACTCAGTATTGCGCAAACTGCAACACCACTGCAAATACTACACTAATATTGCAAACTGCATTTGCGCAAAGACACTGCACTGACCATAAAAAACAAACACGGCAAGCACTGCATAAGCTCTGCACACACTGCTGCTTCTATATTTGCACAGAGAGGGGCTGCTATGACAAATTTTTCTGTCACCCACAATTAGTTAACACTTCTCCCGTTTGATTGCAAAGGGCTGTTGTTTTTAAAGCTTCTCCACAGACGCCCCAAGGAAATGGCAGGAGGGATAGTATTATGCACAGGCTCAAGTGAACAGTGCATCACCAATGAACTTCAGAGCACTGAGCGACGTCAATTCTGTTCCACTGCACACAATCACCACCTACACTATGGCAAAGGTGTTCTGATCTGTCCTGCACTTTTTGCTACTTCAAACACTTGCTTGGCTACACAGGGAGATTGTTATAGGCCCTACACCAGAACAAAAGCAGCAAAGAATTTCAGGTGTAACATTATGTGCAAACTACACGATAGTATACTGTAGCACGTCAAAATATGAACTTCCACAAAAAGGAGTTAATTCATTTGCAGACTGTGCTTCTAAAGTGCGGAGGCCATGGGGATATAGAAAATATTCCAAATGAGAAAAAACAGCCCCTCTTTAGGATTTCAACAGCTATTTTTATTTCTTCAGAGCTCCAGGACTTATTTTTTCTTTGAATGCATGAGGGAGAAAATGCAGAAATGCCAGGGCCTAAAAGCAGAAAAAAGACAAACAGGCTCAAGGCAGGCTTTCTATGAAAGTGTTCTTCGGTTCTTTTCCCAGGGCCCAGGATTCAAAGGCAGATCGGAGCGGTCCGTGTCCTAGTGAGAGAGGGCGGACAAACGGAACTCATGCTCAGATTGGAAAAAGGCGATTTTCTTATTTTGTCCCAGCACAGAAGGGCAGACATTTCCACTCATACTGCCTGTCAGGTCAAGATTCTCAGCTCAAAGATGGCTGTAGCCTGGGTGAGCTCTGCCTAATCCTGGTCCCCGGGACCCTGGGACCTCAGCCCCCTGCTCTCCATTCCAGCAGAGCTCTCACTGACTTCACTGAAGCTGAAGTCACAACCTGCCCAACAGACCCTTTTGTTTTCAGCTAATAAAAATAGTTGGTAGCTTCAAGCTGGTTAGACCACGTCACAAGTAGGTGAAAACTAAAACAGTTGGCTAAAACTAAACCAAGGCTGATTAAGACCTTAATTCAGCAATTTTGGATCACATTCAAATTGCAGAGCACAGTGCTTTGCAAAAATATTCACCCCCTTCCAATCTTGTCCCATCCATCCATTTTCTAACCACTTCATCCAATACAGAGTTTCGGATAGTTTGGAAGTTGGAGCCTATCCCAGCAAGCGATGGGCAAAAGGCAGGGTACACACACACTCACACCAGGGCCAACTTTCTCAGAAGCCAATTAACCTACCAATATGTCTTTGGACTGTAGGAGGTAAAATGAAGCACACACTAACATGGGGAGAGTATACAAACTAGCACCCTGAGGATTGAACCCAGGGCTCCAATGCTGTGAGGCATTAATACTCCAGTAATATCCCATTTCGCTAAATTACAAAATAAGTGAACTAAATATTTAAAGTGAATATTTGTTAAGCAAAACTTTAACTTGCCATCTAAACATTTTGTAACAATGTGTAAAATAAGTTACATATCTGTAAAAGCTACATAGAAAATCCTAACTAAAATACGTTGATAACATAAGCTTTCTCCCCTGTGCATAGTACAAAATTACCTTACCAAACCATACTATTAGTTGAGTGGCCTTCTGTCTATGTGCAATAATAGTGGTTTACATGACTTCAAAATAAATATCCTGTCCCTGTAATGTATATCAATCAGGCTGTGATTAGAAGCATCATTGTAATACAACAAATTGAGACATCACTGGAGGGGGATGAATACTTCTGCAAGGCACAGCATCTGATCTCTGTCCTGAATTTGACAGCACACAACTGTTCCTGGAACAGGGCGGTGTCTGCAAGGATATGTCCATGTAAAATGAGCTCCACAAAATGAAGAAGCATTTTTCTAGATTCAATCAAGGTACACCATGGACAACCTGTTCCAGTGTAAGTGGACTCATGCTCTCATCTACTGTATGATCTGATATTCTTCAATTGATCTAAAATTACTTAAATACTTGAGTGTGAAAATAGAAGGACATGTTTCCTCTGCCTGCTTAACATTTGTAGGTATTGGATGCTTTTAGAACTGATAGAGAATGTTGTCCAGGATTTTGTAGCCAGATCTGACCAGAAATGAGAGAGGGTACCGGAAAGAGAGACTATGGGGTCAAGGGTCAGTGACACTAGACATGCAGATAGATTTAGGACTGCCAATACCCAAGGGTGCAGAAGTTCTGAGGTAGTCCCAATAAACTCAACAGTTACATAAGGGTTCTCAGCTGCTGGACATCCAGTAATTTTACATACAGTGCCATTACATACATTCACAGCTTTTTTATGTGTACACAATCTATGTTATATGTTATAAAATAATTATTAAATTATTTTTTATATAAATATAAAACCATGGACAACCAATAAAAAAAACTATAAAATGGTACAACATACTATACATGCACAGAAACACCCAGAAATAAAAGGTGACATTCCGTACTTTTGCCTCATATTAATCTTTCATCTA